GGTGTGAAAAAGATACTGCCGCTCCTCTGGAGTCAGATGCAGACCAGGATGCCGCTCAATATGAGTCAGACGCACCCTGGATTTTGTTACGACCAAAAACATTCAGACTGACAGAACAAGATTGTACCTTCTAGCCGCCCTTAACATAGGGAACAGACGCTAGAAAGGTACGGTTATGTTGCCTAGGTAACCCAAACCACAGTCCCGGACCGACATCAAAAAAAGGGGATTTGGTAGCCGCCCTAACTAAGGGAACAGACGCTACCAATTTGAGGTCGTGATCGCTAGGCGACCGAAGATGGTCATTACCCCATAGCCGCTCTTAACATAGAGGACAGACGCTGTGAGATATGGGGACGGTAGTTCTTAGTACACATCCTTAGGATGCTTAAACCTCTGCACCGTGCCCGAAGACTAAAGGTGACTACCCGCAGCAGAGCAGAAAACATAACATAAATTAAAATGATATAAAATTAAACTTATTTTAAACACACTATGGTGAAGGGTATATAAGATTCGGCAAAGCTGATTATTGAACTCTTACTTGTTTTTATTGCAAAAGATAAACGTTCCCCGCAAAAATCTGGTAATGTGTTGTACTTACTCAACAACATACATACTTTTCAATGACAACTGACAACCGTCTGCATTACTTAGAAGTACTATAGTAATGACTTTTTTTTAATTTGATATAGAAGTACTTTATTTTCGGCTTTGTCATTTTGTTTGCACATTTCATTTAATTGCGTGTTAAGAATCGTGTTTTACAAAAAAGAAAACAAAATTAAATTTGTATGTGAAAACCATTATTTGACGCGTAATAAAACAGCTAAGCAGTTGTGCAGTGAGTAGAACATTTGACTAACAAACCGAAGTCACCGATTCATATTTTCGCTGGCTCTTTTTATTGTTAAAAAAAATCAACTAGCTCAACAACTTCTTTGTAAGCGGAATTGCAAGTATGTACTTCCAATCTCCAAACCCCGACAAAGGAAAAGGCAATCACTTGTTAGAGCCGATAGAAAGGACGGACCCAACATCAAGTGAAAACACCCTGTTGCTGCTATGAGGAACGCTCTGTCCCTATCTGTATTCCTTGGCCTCTTAAAAACTACCAATCACACAAATGAGATGGCTTTGTTGTTTCGGAAACAGCACCTAGAACGTAATTGGTGGTTCGAAAACACAGATCTATATTTAATTAGTCGGACTCAGTGGCCACAAGGACCTACTGTGATAAGTTGAGCACGTTTGGAGTAAACTCCAACACACTCAACCATCAAATTAAAGATTAAGGTATAAACAACTCCACTAACGTCTCAATCCTCCGCCACTTCAACAGTCACTCCATCCGTCATTCCGACATCTTCATAGATACAGCCCAGAATTTATCTCATCCAGTAGATACAAGTATACAATGGTACATCGCACACCAACGCATACCCAATCTTTGCATTATCAGCTCAAATCCAACATTTTATTAATCTAAAGCTTCGCCTTGTGGTTTGTACCGCTCCTAGAAATTAGGAGCGGCAGCAGAAACTTATCCCGATTTATTTATTTTAACCAGGAACGTCTTCTCGCGAATTTGCGTTTAAACCACAACCAGCCACTACGAGGATCCCGAAGGGACCTCAATCAACTTACCAGCCAGGGCAAAGTACCCTTAGTACCAGATTATATGGTGCTCTGGTTCGACCCGAAATGCAAAAACATCACTTCCGTTTACAATCACGCAGATGGGATGGCCTTAGTTAAGTCGGCAACAGCACCTAGAAACATAATCGGTAGACCGCAGTATGAATCCATCAAATAAGCCGAGACTTTGTTTTTAGTCACAGAGGGCACACTGTGATAAATCTGGTATGAACAGAGTTTACTCTGAACATACCTAGATAAGGAAGGAAAATTCAATGGCATCACTTGTATAAGATACCTTTCATCCATCACCATGCAATCCTGCACACTTTTCATTTATCCGAAACACTCATAAGAGAATAACATACGACAAACTCACTCTAGGTATACGGGCATGTTTCATCCTGTATCATATACATGTAACACCAAATCATTTCCAACGCTTAGACCCACAGTTTCTCCTCTGTGAGGTATCTGTTGTCATTTGACAACATCACCGATTCAAGTTACTCTTCCCTCGAATTTGGGTTGTTGAAATCAATTTTCTGAAGACGCCAGATATCTTCTTTTACAATTCTGTCAGACATGCTTTCGAGAAGTTTCCTATTTATAATCAGCAAAATCGGTCCATAAATAACGGTGATATGAGCAAAAATCTGAGACTACCTCTGAAAATTTCATTAAATTTAGATTTTTTGTGCATGCTGAGACAGTAATTATAAACAACCAAAAACAACACACATAATCATACGGTAAATTTTGTTCTTGTACTTGCTTGTTTATAAAAACAAAGCCAAGAAATAACAACACGTTACGAATGAAGCAGTGTGTTGTTATTGCCTAAAAACATAAAATTAAGCATATAGATCGCGTAGTAAGTGAAACCCTATAAAAGGGGTCTCTTTGGTACTTTTTCTTCAAAAGGTATTTTTTGAATTTTCTATAATATTGAACCTAGAAACATGAAATTAAGCATGTGGGGGCTTAACTTTAATTCAGCTATCTAAAAATTCCAATTTTGCTTATTTTTCGACTAATTTCTAATTTCTTGTTCTAGTTAGTATATACATAAAAAAGATGTTACCTTAATGTTGATATTTGTATCCATGAATAAGTTTATATTTTTAAAAAGTGGTGAGGAGATAAGGAGAAAGAAATAAAAGAAATTCAGCATCAACAAAGTGATTTATATTGGCAATTTTATTGCGTTAATATATTGCAATTTCCACCAAGCGTGGCATGAATTCACACTAACTACTGATACACCAAAGTAGTTAGTAATAAAGCCTCAAATTGAAGCAGCCACAAACAGATCACGCACTTAACGATAAAAAAATCTATAGAAATGCATAGATAGACAAGTGTTAGTGTTACGATATGAAATAGAACGATATAACTAACATACAATATAAACATACATACAGGACGGATATTGTTCATGATCCACTGATACAGATGCACACATTCACCAGTCCAACGATAGATCGATCCATTCATACATATGTATCAGAAGCCAGTAAATGAAATTAACGATTCTAGTAACTTGAATTCTACGTTCTGCGAATATTCACACGTGTTGGTGTGTTTACAACTACTTTTGCAACAATAACAATAATAACATCAAGCAATTGCAACAAATTTTCTGATTAATTTACGATCAATTGCGGCACAAGAAATATTTTACAACATATTACAAGATTTTTGTGCAATTTGTCGTAGCATTCTTATTTTTTTCAACTGTTTTTTTCATTTGAAAATAAATTGCAATAACGATCCCGGTTTAATGATCGTCATGTTTTATTCGTGTGTCATATTACAAAAAAGTCTGTTTGCATTAATGACGATCTAAAAGCAATTTCTTTTTAAATAAAATTACTAATAGGCGATAAACTATTTATTTTAATGAACACATTTAATTAGTATTACATTGATTAACAGACCATACGTAGATCATTTTTAAAATGCAATTCATTCGGATAAATTTATTACAATTTAAGTAAAAATGTAATAAAATTTGCTTTAGCAAAATAAAACTGTCAATAATTGATGAACAAATATTCTCTTAAAAATTTTTAAATTATGCTCTCAAAAACTAAAAGTTTTTAACATTGAACGCTTCGCGGGAGTTTTCCACTTCTCTTATCGAGTGCTTAGGGTGCGGTGAACAATCTGTCTTCTTCCAGTTATGGTATCACTTCAGTGGACGGAGGACACATTGTGCTCTACCTGGGAATCTTGTGTTCCCCGCGGACCAAAAACTGTATTCGGGATTTCTGACTTTCAAAACCCCAATAGACTACCACAGTATGATCGCTTCGAAGGATCTGTACTTAGGCTTTTATGGATTTCTTTAATACAAATGGCTTGATCACAATGAACTTAGGTAATAAAGTTAAATATGTCAATAGAATCATGGAAAAAGTATTAAAGATAATTATATATTAGGATTATCTTATAAACGTCTCGGCTTGTATCTGTGATGGTCAACACCGAAGTCGATTAATATTCCGAATAAGCCTAAAACTGTTTGGACTTTGCTCGGGACCTTACAAGAGAATAGTTTAGGACAGAACACTTTTCATTGTCGAAATAAAGAGGATATAGACGCCAAAGTAGAAAAGACAGTTGAACTCTGCGAGAGCAGAGATCTGTCCACGAGAAACCTTGGGTCATTGGACAGATACAGAACCTTGGGAAACTCTTTAAAAGGGATTTTGTGATTTTGTATTAATACAAAGAATTATTTGAAAATGTATGTATTTTAATCTATACCCCTAAAATATTTTGTAGTATGAAATGTGTCGAGTTTTTCAAAAGAAAGCCAAAATATATTTTGATACTACATTTTGATAAACAATTAGATTTTATATTAAATACAATGAAACTCTGATATCACTTTGCAACGAATTTTAGATATTTGAATCTTTTCGGAATGAGACCAACGGGAAAAGAAAGTAGACAATTAGACCAAATTCCCCAAAGGATTTTTAAAAGTTAGCTCGTATTGTTAATTTATAGGCATTTTAAAGTAGGAACATTTTCTCATATATAATATCAAAAAAATTATAATTATGGACCGATACAGATTTACGTTGGTAATATGATTTCTGTTCATATTATACTATGACCAAAATGTCCAACTTTGCCCTCTAAGTCCGGCACAAAATTACCCATATGTATATAGGAAATTTACTTTTCGGTCAATATTTCGCCGAACATTGGCCTAACCTTACTTTATACCGAACTTCGTATCCGTACCCGAACCTTGAGTCAGACAGTATAAATCAATTAAAAAACCATTAATCCGTATTATACTAAATAGTCATTTGACTAAAAAAGCTACTAACTATATATTAACTCACCTCCTTTGCTGGCAGAGGGTCTGGCCCAAGTCCATTCTGAAAAATATATAAATTTAAAAATTAGTATTTTTGAAGTAAAAAGGCACAGGAAGTAATCAAATTTTTATATATTCTGACTGTCGCAAATTCAAAAATGCATTGGTACAAATTTCATTCCGATATCAGTTTTAAAACTATAGTCATTTGACATGAAATGCCCCATACTTGTACCAGTAATGAGCGTTAAATTAATTATCTGAAGGGGATCTTTAAAAAAAATTAAAATGTCACTCTAGCTCATTCCGTTCGGAGTTTATCGTGCTTTCAACAGACATACGTCGGACAGACATGGCTAGATCGTCTTCGAATTTAATAAGGACCCAAAATATATATAGTATTGTGGGTCTATGACCAATATTTCGATGTGTTACAAACAGAATGACAAAAACAATATACCTCTCATCTTTTTGGTGGGTATACAAAAGGTAAAAGGTCAAAGCAATATATAGTTTAATGCAAAAAAGAGCATTGTCCTCTATATCTGTACAGAATAGTTAGTTCAGGTGTTATTAACCATTTGGCAGTACTTATCACTAAAGCCGATTTTTGAAAAGATACTAGAACATTTAGTAGAATGATGTACTCCAAACACCTACACATACGGATGGTATAGTTGTATAGGGGCTAGGTGAAGTAATGGATCGATTTCAACCATTTTCATTTTCTTGAGAAATAGAAAAGGTATATGCCAAATTTTATTAAATTATCTTGGAAATTGCGACCTGTAGCGCGTATGGACACATAGCTTAATCGACTCAGGAGTGATTCTAAGCCGTTTAGGACCAATGTTTTTGCATGTTACAAATATCAACACAAAGGCACAATACCCTCTCCACTATAGTGATGTAGGATATAAATTATGGTATTCAAGTGGTTAACTGTTGATGGGTTAATCGATACATTTTTGTTGATTAATCGCTCGAATAAATGAAAATTGCCAAATTTCAAATAACGAATAAACCGAATAATTTCTATCAATTAACCGATTAAAAAAATCGTTAAACTAATGTATATTTCATACAAAAATCAATAACCTGATAATATGTTTTCTTCTATTTATTTCTTAATTATTTTTCAAAAATAAGTAAAATTTTCTAAGAAGAAATAATTTATAATTGGAAAATTATAATTTTATTTGTTATAGGAAGAAAAATGTAAAAATGCAATAAAATTAGTAAAAACATACATTATTTGATCAACCTAATAATTTTGAATTATCCGATAATTAAACGGCTAGGACAATAGCCCGAATAATTGAATACTCTAGTATTAATATATTGAATTACTTTTTAATAAAATTGCAGGTAACAAAGTAAAAAAATACGTTTTCTATATTTGAAAAACATATGTATGTATTTTATACATAAAGTACTTAAAAATTGTGTACATGAATACTAAAAACAAATGTTCAAACAAGCTTCTTGAACTTCTGATAATAAAAATTAATTGAAATATTTTATCTTACAAGAGCAGTTTAGAATGTGTGGTCTGCTTAGTGGGTAAAATGTATAAATTTGCAGCGTGCTTAATCGCATTATTCGCTCATTATATGTATTAAGGAACAATAACTTACAACATTCCCGCTGTTAACAACAAATTACTGCAAATTACTTGTTGTATAATTTCAATCATCATTTTATGGCATTAGCAATTAATTGCACCTTTATTCGTGTGTTTTAATTGGAAAAAGTAATCAATTAAATTTGTTTATTTTTGCTTGTGTTTTAAATATTTTAATTTGAGAATTAACTACGAAGAATTTGAAAAGGAACTGTTGTCAATTTGCGTTATGCCCAGGATAAGATCGATAGCACAAATGGCAATAAAAATGTTTCTATTTATATTACAATTGCAAAAATTATGGTACACGAAACAAGCTAGAATTATATACAAATACTGCAGCCGAGTTAAAGCTAAGTAGAATCGTTCTACATGTAGGAATATTATAAGAACCTTCATTAAGATTTGTGGAAATAGATTCATGTACTAATAAATTGTATGTTTTATAATATATAGATAGCATATGTATTGCATTTTCATCTCCAGATGAACACCAAAGTCATTTAAAACTTGTTTTTGAACTCCTACAATACTATTTGGCCATTAATGTGTGCAAATGTAAGTTCGGAAAATCCGAAATTTCTTTTCTTCCACCAATTTTAGATATTATTCCTGGGAATTTAAAAAAATGATCTTACGCAATTTATCTGACGTGAACCGCTGCTTTCGAAGAATATAAAGCACAGCTCACCGACGATAATCTTCTGGCACATCCTGAAAAAAAATTCGACATGTCGTAAATACGTTGCAGTACCCATGATAGGGAGCTAACTGCGATTTACTTAGCAGTTTCACACTTCAAATATATGATACAAGGTTGTGTTTATCATATACATATACACGGACCAAGGCCGTTTACGTACGCAATTCGCACATTAGGCACGTATCCGGGAAAGAAAACATTATCGGGGATATTCTAGCTCGAATTTCAACTATTATAACTATCATGGTCTTAGATTAAGTGTCAACGTTCAAAATAAGCTATGGATACCTGTATTATCTCACTATAATAGAAAGATTAAGTCGTTGGCCTGTGGCAATACCGTTAGTGGATATGTCTGCAACAGTAGCTCAAGCAATGGTTTCAAGTTGGATAGCTCGACAATTTGAGTCGCATCTTTTGAAGGAGCTAACAAGATATTGTGGTATTAAACATCTCAGAACTACACAATATCTCCTGTAACGTGATTGCAAAAATCGACGACTGAAGTAAAGGTAAGAACAGGCGAGTGAAGTTACCGTTAGAACGACCGAATTCTCGGTTAATAAACACAAAGGTCAAATAACAGTTTAAAAAATTATACAAAGTAAAATCAGTCGACTTTTCAATTATGTTATAATATCCGAGACTAATTGACATGTTCTAGTTTTGTGAGACCTATACCAAATGTAAGAAAACCTTGTCTTCTTATACTAATGATTCGATTATCCTTCCACATTGAAATAGGTAACACACATCATGATCAAAATCGACAACATATTGATCGATCGTCTTAAGTTGATGAATCACATCCTTAAGGAAATTATCAGCGAGTGCAATCACAGACTGCAATAACACCCTCAAGTCAGACTACGAGCGACCTATTCTGACTAAAAGTAGTCTTTCTGACATTGCTAACAACACTTGTTAAAAGGTATTATTGTCATAGCTATCAAATCGTTAATAAGTTTTTCTCTAATTTGTATAAAATGTTGTCTTAGGTGATTTTATATAAATAAATTGATAAGTATTTGAACTGATCACAAAAAGCGTTTGATTCATATCAGATATAGGATGTATTTCTATGAAAAACTCTCTGTTAAAAATAATATGAATAGATATATAGAGGGAATTTCGTGTCAAGTGACCCAACTTTTGTGTTGGTTCACTTGACATGAAATTCCCATAGATATGATCCTAAAAAAACCATCACAAATGTTCTCCCGAAAACTTGTATTGTTAAGCATAGTGATTTTTTGAATATTATGTATTACATACATATACACCATATAACATTGTCCATTGTTGGATATTATAATATGTATAAGGTAAACAGGGATGTGGATAAAGAACGACTACAGCATGTAATCATTAGCAAAATGCAACTTTTGACAGTACAACGCATTCACTTGTAAGCACACAGACAGGCGGACAATGTACATTTTAGAATTGAGAAATTGTTAAAAAAAACACATACTGTTTTTGTAGTTTACCGCAGGAAGTTTCAAACAAATATCAACCACTTCCATGGCCACAACAATCGTCATTGCCATTAACATGATCGTCTGTAAATTTATGACATTTAAACTGTTTCTTTGGAGCACCTGCGGCACCAAATTTAAATCCACCAAGAAATGCCATCCACATATGTACATTAGGGAGTATTTTCTTATTACTTTGTTTTTGAATTATCGAAGTGTGCATTTATTAAGTGTAACTCTGATATATACCATTTATTATGAAAGTGGTGTGTTTCCACTATACAAATAGAGTTGGAGTTAAGTACTATTAACCCCCATTATCTCAATGCCTGGTTATATTTTATCGTAAGGTTAAATAGACAGTTTTTATACAAAAATTATTTTAATTAGAAGAATATCAACAAACAATAACAGGAGATGGAGTAGGTGTATAATACAATTAAAGCTTTTTAATATATTTATTATCAAATGCCTGCAAATTTACTATTTCTATATAATGTTGAAAGTTTATCAAAATATTTTAAACTTCACTATAATTTTTGTGTATTTAAATGACACTTTAAAGATATTTTAGAAACTCCAAAAATCAAATTAAAAAACCTCCTTAATTTATGTATATAGAATTGTCACGACCACTTGTAACATCCTACTCTAGATGTTAATAAAAATGAACAATATAAACTCAAAATTGATGAACATTTTAAATAAACTAAACAATTTCTAAAAGAAATGTTAACAAAGTTAATTAAATACACTTTAAATAATAACAATTTGTAATTACGTATATTATATTTAAGTTAAAAGTTCCATCCTCCTCACCCTCCTCTTGGTGTATAGAAATTATTCATTTACTAGTGGACAGCCAGTATCCATTACTCTACTCTGGTAAAAATTGTTGGTTATTATTGCCTTGTATTGTTTTTGTCTTTGAAGACCATGACCAAGTCCTTTAATCTATTTCATCCATAGCAGTACATTGCGGTAATGAAAACAAGAAACAGTTAACAGTCATAAAACAACAATGTCTTAAATGTAAAAAAAAACTATCTTTAAATGTGCGTTATTTCTCCACAACGCACTATATATTCATACTTTAAGCTAAACTACTAGGCAAAGCTATGCGATCAGATACATTCAGCCGCATATGTACATACATACATACTACATAAATAGTTATACTAAACGAGATAGTACATTTATATGGTCAACACACAATGGCGCCACCTGCAATAAGTGCAATTACAATCTGTGTACGG